GATCCGTAATTTAATTTTGAAAATTTTTAACTTGGATACACATGGAGATTCATGTAAAATCAAAACAATTTTTGATGAGTATCATATTAGACCACATGACACGTCATGTGTTAAGGGTTTCTTTGTAATTTACTTAAGTACCTTGCTTTGTATTTCTATTTATACACTTGTACCGCTACATTTCAATTCAATGAGAAAGTTATCTTTATTCTTTCCATTCTCCCTGTCTGTTCCCTTTCTTCCTCTGTTCTCGCATGGTATCAGAGCACGGTTCTGTCCATGGCAGATCAAGAATCAGGAACCTCACGTCACAACTCCTCTCTTCTTCCAAACTCCAGTAACACACCTGATTTTGCAATTCCTGCTTCTCTTAAGTTCTTGATTACAAATCTCAAGAACCTTGTCCCCACCCCTCTCTCCTCCGAGAACTATCCTATATGGCGTATACAGTTCCTCCAACACTTCTCGGTGAATGGCTTCGCCGGACACCTCACCGGCGAAACTCCGCGTCCGACCGACGTCACCGGATCCGACTACTTCAAATGGAACCTCACTGACCAAAATCTGATTTCGGTCCTCTACTCTACCATCTCCTCCACCATTCTTCCCTATGTTCTTACCTCCACCACCGCCTATGAAGTATGGGACATTCTTGAAAGAAGACTACAACCAACAAACCGCTCTAGAGTCATACAGCTCAAGAACGAGCTTCACAACATCCAGATGAGGAACTCATCTATGCAGCAGTACCTAATGCAAATCAAAACCTTCGTTGATGGCATTGCGGCTTCAGGCTCAATAATTGATACGGAGGACATCATCCTCTACATTCTCAACGGCTTACCATCCACCTACAACCCCTTCAAAACAGCTATCCGCACCTCCCTCAATCCCATCGATCTGGACACGATGCATTCTCTTTTGTGCAGCAAAGAGATCAACATTCAACAAGAATCCCAGCGATATGCTATGACAACCTCAAATCACACAGCTCTCTATGCGAACTCCTCAAGATCGAATACTAGCAGAAGTCAATATCATCAATCCAAGAATCGCACCAATTTCAATCGAACTCAACAACCGCTCAATACTAGACCACCTCCTATTCCGGGCTCTACCGATCGGCCAACCTGTCAGATATGCGAAAAATTAGGGCACATAGCTCTCAATTTCTGACACAGGAACAACCCCAAATACGCACCTACCACCCCGTCATCCTCGCGCACTTTCTCTACACAATAATCTCCGAACCTGACCAATGATTGGGTTCTTGATTCTGGGGCCTCTGCTGTAAAACCCTTCAAAAAGCTGATTTTTTTTAGAGCAGTTCGTCTGTACGAACTGGATTTAGTACTGGACGAACTGAAGAAATTTGTGAAGAAATCTGCTATTTTCGTCTGTACGAACCTGGAGCAGTCGGGACGATCCGTCTGTACGATTTCACTATGGATGCCTGGGGTGTTACATCTGCCCATCTCACCCTGGACCTCTCCAATTTACACCAAAGCGCACCATACCAAGGGGCTGACACGATCTCCGTGGCTAATGGAGCTTCCTTGCCCATTCACAACGCGGGCTAGGGAATCCTTCCTCTACTCGACTCGGCTCGTAAGCTTCGTTTGCAAAATTTATTACATGTTCCGGCCCTCACCCATAATCTCATTTCTATTTCTAAGCTAACATCTGACAATCCTGTTTCTATTCTTTTTTATGCTAATGGCTTTGTGATTGAGGATCTTCAGGACCATCATCCTCTTCTTCATGGTCGTCGGCATAACAGGCTCTACCACCTACGGACTGCCCCCTCTAACGAAATGCAAGCTCTAAGTGCTACCGCCTCCTCTACTCATCTTTGGCACGTTCTCCTCGGGCATCCTTCTATACGGTTTCTAACACAAGTCCGACAATACATACCCAACCTGGCGTGTCTAAATACGAAGTTCTCATGTACTTCTTGTAATATGGCTAAAAGCCATAAACTCCCATTTAATAAAAGCACTACAAATTCTCATCATGCATTTTATTTAATTCATTCAGATGTTTGGGGGCCGGCACCGCAGCAGTCTCTTAATGGATTTTCATATTATGTAGTTTTTATTGATGACTTTACCATATTCACTTGGCTCTACCTCATGCACTCTAAAGATCAAAGTTACTCCAAATTTACACATTTTTGTTCTTTAGTCAAGAACCAGTTCAACACCACACCCAAATTCTTTCGATCAGACGACGGCGGCGAATTCACAAGCACACAATTCAAAACCTTCCTCACATCTCACGGGATTACACATCACATTAGCCATGCCCTCACACCCCGGAGAAAAATGGGCTCTCCAAACGCAAGCATCGACACTAACTTGAACTCACCCGTACCCTCCTTCTTGAATCCAATCTTCCACAAAAAATTTGGACTGAAGCTGTTTACACCTCAAACTATCTTATCAACAGGTTGCCATCCAAGGCTATACATAATCAAATTCCCTATACTAAGCTTCAAGGAAAACAGCCCAACTATGATCACCTTCGCACCTTTGGCTCTCTATGCTTCCCGTGGCTTCGTCCTTACGTCCCCGACAAGCTCTCCCCAAAATCCCAACCGTGCATTCTTCTTAGTTACTCTTCTCAACACAAAGGCTATAGATGGCCTCAACCTTACTACAAACAAAAATTAAATATCTCGTCACGTTACCTTCCAAGAACACATATTTCCCTACAATCAGCCCCTTAGTTCTTCAGCCATCTCTGTCTCCCCCAGTTCAAGTTACCTACCTCCGTCACTTTTCACCCCTACTTCTATCCAACGTGCCATAGCACCCTCCTCCACCAATATCCAACATCACCAGCCAATCTCAACTCAACACTCCACTGCACACATCCGGGATAACTCATCCTTTCAGTCACACCCAAACACCACACCATTTGTACAACACGGTCACCATATGCAAACTCACGCCAAATATGGTATTCACAAACCAAAACAAATATTCGATCTCTCGGCCACCGTCTCTCCAACCTCCACACCTACAAGCTATACACAGGCGTCCAAATCTCCACAATGACAGGCTGCGATGGACAATGAGATCTTGATACTCCACAAACAAGTGACTTGGTCTCTCGTTCCAAAGCCCGCGACTGATCAAATACTTGGCTACCGGTGGACTTTCAAGACCAAACTTCAACAGAATGGCCATATTGATCGTTACAAGGCACGATTGGTAGCTCAAGGATTTAACCAAACACTTAGTGTCAACTACAAAGAGACCTTCAATCTGATGGCAAAAATGCCTACTATTCGTGCTCTTCTAACTATTGCACTTCATCATCAATGGCAAGTTCTCCAACTAGACATTTCAAATGCTTTTCTCCACGGCAATCTGCACGACACAGTTTACATGAGACAACTGCCTGGCTTCATCGATCCTCAACATCCAGATCACGTTTGCAAACTTCATAAATCACTCTACGGCTTAAAACAGGCTCCGCGGCAATGGTTTCAGAAGCTTACGAACTTTCTTCAAAAATTCGGATTCGGGTTCAGTCGCTCTGATCCCTCGCTTCTCATCTTTCATCGTGATCAAATTAAACTCTATTTTCTCTTACGTTGATGAAATCCTACTTACAGGAATGATCAAGCAATGCTCCAACTTCTTCTCCAACAACTTCATTCGCAATTTGATCTGAAGCAACTAGGGAATGTATCGCTGTTCCTTGGCATACAAATCCTCAACACACCTTTCGGTTACTTTCTCCATTAGGAACACTACGCATTACAAATCCTACAGCAATCCAGATTAGAAGACTGCAGCTCCACTCCTACGTCAATCACCCAAAAATGCACGTCAACACCAGCAAAAGAAGAACCTTTTCACGATCAACACCTGTACCGCAAACTGGCTGGATATCTCTAGTAAGTATCCATTAATCGCCAGGATATAGCCTTTGCTACCAACCACATCTGTCAACACATGCACGCTACTACAGTCAGCAACTTCATCGACCTCAAACGCCTACTTAGGTACATCAAAGGAACCATCAAATTTGGCTTACCCATTACCATAGGAAATCTGCAACTAAGAACCTATGTCGATGCGGATTGGGCTTCAAACACACTCGACAGAAAGTCCATCTCAGGGTTATGTACTTTCCTCGGTGACACGCTCATCTCTTGGTCAGTCAGGAATCAAGCCACAGTTGCTAAGTCGTCCACTGAAGCCGAATATCACGCACTATCTACAGTCACATCAGACGTCTTGTGGCTTCGTCGTTTGACCGAGGACATTCATATTCCCAAAAAATTCTCCAACCAAAATTCACTGTGACAACACCTCGGCTATCGCTTTAGCCAACAATTCGGTGTTCCACGCTCGAACAAAACACATCGAAATCGACTACCACTTCATACGGCAACACATCAACAACGACTCTCTCACCGTCGAACATATTAGCTCTAACGACCAAATCGCAGACATTCTTACAAAACCCCTGGCGACAGCTCGCTTCTAAGATCTTCGAAACAAATTGACCATTCAAATACTGAATGCTCAATTTGCGGGGGCATATTAGACCACATGACACGTCACGTGTTAAGGGTTTCTTTGTAATTTATTTAAGTACCATGCTTTGTATTTCTATTTATACACTTGTACTGCTGCATTTCAATTCAATGAGAAAGTTATCTTTATTCTTTCTATTCTCTCTATCTGTTCCCTTTCTTCCTCTGTTCTCGCATATCAATCATGATGCTTAGAAAAGAAAAAAGTTCATAAAAAATTGTGTAAAATGATATTATATTAATATTATGATGCAATTTTTTATATAATATAAAACTATAAAATATAACAATAATTATTTTAATTTTTTTTTTCTAAAATTAATAACTAAGTATTTTGCAATCTAAAATCTAATGGCGCCATGAAATCAGAGTGTTGCATTTTGACTTGAAATGAATTTAAATTCTTATTGAATTAAAGTATATCCAACTTCATGTTTTCCCCCTTTCTTTATGGTTCCGTTGTAATTTACACCAACAATTTTCTTTCCCGAAATAATGTTTCAACCTTCCATCAACCTTTTTAACACATTTGTTAAAGCAGAACCGACGGTTGGATTTTCAAGCCGAGTTGAGGTCATCCATCAGTTTCCCTCCTAAAATCTCTCTCCTTCCCCGTTTGATTTGCTTACTTATCTCCATTAATGCGTGGCTTGCCTTCTCCTGCTTCGTTTTTTGCAACACGAAGAACAGGTCCCTTACACTGTCGCTTCTTCTCCCTCGCTCCCGTCCTTTTCTTCCATGTAGTAGAAAATGAGGAGAACCACTTTTTTCCCCTATCCTTAACTCTTCTTCATCTTCAGAATTCAAAGCTTCACCAAAACAAGGACGACGGTCTGCTTTGCTTTTTTTTTTTTAATTTTTTTCTTTACTTGAGATTTCTACTTTTTTTTTTCTTTACAACGATTAACTCTGTGAAGTTCTGTTTGGAACAGAAATGGGTTCCTATTCGGAAATGCCGAGTTGGCTAGAGAAGTTACTTGCGGAGAAGTTCTTCAGCCCGTGCGCGCACCACGAGGGGGTCAAGAAGAACGAGAAGAACATCCTATGCCTTGATTGCTGCTTCGGCTTCTGCCCCCATTGCATTCTCCCTCACCGCTCCCACCGACTCCTCCAGGTGCGACTGACGAAAACCATCGCCGAGCCCTTTGGTTCTTTCGCTTGCTTAATTTCCTCTCAATCCTGCAAACTTTCTTTAATTACCTGTGAAAGATTCGAAGATATGTGTACCACGATGTCGTTCGGGTGGAGGATTTGGAGAAGCTCATCGACATGTCATTGGTTCAGGTAAAGTAAGGAACTTCACTCAGAAGAAGCACAAAAAGGAATTGACGAACTTGAAGATCAACTGTTATATTGATTACAATTTTGTATTTCAGTCCTACACGACGAACAGTTCAAAGGTGGCGTTTTTGAAACAGAGGGCGCAGAGTCGTCCCTTCCGTGGCTCCGGCAACGGATGCCGCTCGTGTGACCGACCACTTCAAGAGAGTTTTCTGTATTGTTCCCTTTCCTGCAAGGTAATGCAATCGAATATGAGAAAAATAGTTTCATTTTCTTTTTAATCTCACTTTTCTTCTTACCCGCTTAGGTGAAGAAATTGATGATGAATGACGGTGAGCTCTCAAGGCACCTGCGTAAGTGCGAGTATCTACCGCTTTCGATCGACGAAGACGGCCATTTCACCCCAGATTCTATTCTAGAGTCCCCAGGTCCCGATTCCTCCGGATCCATTGGAAGTGGCGGGGCGAAAGACTGCGTTGCTGTTGGCGGTCTCCTTTGCGCCGCCGTGATGGAATCCACTGCTCGACGTGGTCGGGGTTGCGCCGGCGTAGGCTTTGGGACGGTGGTTGAACCGGCCGGTTCGTTGCGTAAGAGGTGGAGGAAGATGCCCCGTCCGAACCGGTCACCCCTATTTTGACCCGCGGTCCGTAATTGCTGGCCCGATGGGTTTCTGGAAATTCATAATATCTTTTAACTGAAAATATATCCAAATTTTGACGGGTCCTTTTTTTTTCCGAAAAAAAGAAAAGGATTATTTGACTGTATGCAGTTTTTTTTGATAGAGAAACAGTTAAATGGCTTAGAGGTTACGGCTCTCATTCAAATATTTATTATATTTTTGGTAAAGTGTTTCACTATTGTAATATCAATGCAAAAAAGTGATTTTTTTATTCGGAAACGGCGTAACAATGCATCAGGCTTGTTGATAAGGGCAAATTATTACGTCCGGTGTCCGGATTCATCCAGACATCAATTAAAACACGTCATATCACCAAAATACATCGGGTCTCAATATATTTGGGTGACGTGGAGCGTCTGAATTGGATGTCCGGACGTCAGAATGTCGGGTGATTGGACGTAATAATTTGCCGTTGATAAGAAATTATTACGTTTAGAGTTTAGACATAGAGAATCATTTGATTTTATTACTGTGAATAATAAAAATACAGTTACTCTTCATCACTATATTTCTATCGTTCACACAGTCATAAAATCAAACGATTCTATGTTCGAACCCTGCACTCTTAATCTTCTTGTTAAGGGGAACTTCAGATTTTTAAAGGAATTTTATAATTGTTTAAATTTTAAAAGCTAAAAAAATAATAGAGTTTTGGTCAAGGTGTTAGTGAGGGGAGTCAGTCAGAGTTTGGCTTATTAATGAGCTCACAATTCGAATTTATTGAGCCACAAATAGCTTGGCTTATTAATGAGCTCACAATTTGAATTTATTGAGCCACAAGTAGAAGCTAGAGCTTATACAATTATACTTGAGCTCTTATATTAAATAAACTTGAGCTCAATTGACTTAACTCATAAGCATGTCAAATAAAAAAAAAACTAAAATTTTTAATTTAAAATTAAAAAATATAGCTCAACAATTGAGTTAAGCTTGAGCTTTCAAAATTAGCTCTAATTTATAAATTTTTTAAAATGCTGAGTAATAGCTTTTATAAATGCGTTTATTTATTTATAAATGAGCAGAAGATCAATAAGAACAAAAGAAAGTTAATTTGATCAAACATATATTCAATTCAACTCAATTCGTTTACACTCCTAATGTTGGCGTCTCACTATTTTTAATTGAATTAATAATGGACCACATTGCATGTAATCATGTGACCACACAAGATCAAGTTCTAAGTCTCATTTTGATTTCTTCCCCCCTTGACTTTGACTTTCCAACAATGAGGATCGAGTCAATGGCTCATTGGTTGAAGAAGTAAAACCCTTCCCATGCGATCCGTTCGCCTTAGGCTTTGTTTGGAACGGCTTTCTCACTGCTTCTTAAAGCAGCTTTTTAGTAAAAAAATTAAAAAATTTTATACTAAAAAGCAACTTTAAGAAACAGTAAGAAAGCCATCCCAAACATAACCTCAAAATGCCCCAAAAAATCCAAAGTCCAAGTTGCCTTATGAATCTTTTTATGCTTCCAATTATGGTGAAACTAAAAGCCATATTCGAGGGAAACATATTACAAGAACTAGCTAGGCTAAAGTGTTACAATAATACTAAAAAATAAATTTTCATCTCTTGTTGTCCACTCCTAATTTATTCATGGATGAACCCTAGTTTGTTCCTGTATGATTGATTTTATGAACTTCTACCAATTTTTTGGTTTGCTTTGCTTATACAACAAATTAGATCCATGAAATGAAAAGAAAGTCTCTTTAGGAATCAATCAACAACATTTGTTCCTCTAACACTGATCCATGGTTGATTTTGGTGGGTTTAAATTGTGTAAGAATTGTCGTAAAAAAGGCAGCTGGCACTTACATTTCCTTTGCAAATTGGCTAATTTTAACTTTTATACTCTTAACTCTAGATTTCTTGAAAATTCAATCAACAGATGGACAACCCTACTAGATATTTGTTTGATAGAGCTTTATGTAATATCATATAAATTTAATAATTTCCCCTTTTGTACTGTAATGTTTTGAGCCTCTCTCTTTTGATCATTCTCCTATTCTCATTTCGATGGGCACCTCTCCCAAGCTAAAATGGAGATTCTAAAGGGAAGGATGACATCAAATTTCTCAACCAAAGAATCAAAATTAGAGAGATTAAAATTTTATCAAGAGATTTCTACTCCTCTTATCCCTTTACATTTGCAGGATGATATTACTAATGAAGCCATCACATAATTTTTAATCTCCTTAATAGTTAAGTAACTTTCTTCCTCTAATAAAGATCCTTTTGTTCAGCATAAGCTTTCTACTCATGATTGTAGTGGGGTAATCACACCTTCTATAATGATGAAATTATTTGCTCTCTTTGATATTGGAGATGGAAAACTGGCTGAATTGGATGGTTTTACATAGAAAATTTTCAATGAAAACTGGCCCATCAATGGCCTTCCATTTCTTGAGGCCATTCAATACTTCTTCTCCTCTGTTAAGCTTCCTAATGGTGTTAAGCATTCAACCATACTCTTATAGCTAAAAGTGCCCATGCTCAAGCACTTAATGACTATCAGCCCATCTTCTTATATAAAATCTTATATAAAGTTATTGCCAAACTCTATGTTGATAGAATTAAACTGCTTCTCTCTAAACTCATCCAACTTGCATAATCGGCCTTCACTCTTGATAGAGATATTACAGACAATGTTATCAATGCTAATGAATAACTTATAAGATTTTAACTCATCCAACAATTCCAAATACTTTTGCACTAAGATTAACCTCAAAAAGGCTTTTTATAATGTTAATAGACAATATCTCTACAATAGATTGAGAGCTTGGGATTTCCTAAAACATTTGTTGGTTGGATCAAGGCATACAACATTAATGTTTACTTTTTTTGTAGTCAACAGTAGTGAGCTTAAGGGATACTATCCATATTGTTTTGGCCTCAAATAGGGATGTCCCTATCTCCTTTCCTCTTTACTGTTATTATGGATAGCTTTTTTTGGCTAATGGAGTTGCATTATGGCTAAGGTCCTTTCATAAGTATTACAAAACATAACTATCAAGTTTCTCACCTTATTCATGTAGATGTCTAAATACTATTCTAGATAATTTCCATAACATATTTGGCCTATGTGTCAATTTAGAAAAATATGCCATTTGCTTCTCCGACATTGTGGATCTATATATACTAGACTTCAAATTTGAGATGAAATAAGTGTCTCCAATAAGCTTCTTCCTTGTGACAGTCTAGGCAGCTCCCTTTCCTCTTTTAAACTCAAAGAATATGACTATCCTAAAACTATAAACAAAATATAAGTGGTTCAAAGGATGGAAATAAAAAACTTCTATCTTTTGAGTGGATTCCAACTTATTAGATCCACCATATGTAACTACAATTATTTTTGGTCCCATTGTATCACTCTTCAAAAAAGTTTAAGGAAAAAGATTGTCATTACTAAATAATTTATTGCATAAATGGTGAACAAAAAATGTTTTACACTATATCCTATTGTACTCCCACCAAGCCTAAGGATAAGGGTTGTTTATATCTTCCTTGGATATTTTGAGTAAAATGTGTAAGGCCAAAATTATTTAGAGATTTTATAATTTGGACTCTTACCTCATCATGGCATTTCAATGTTTTTGGGTTTCTATGGTGCAAATCTTCCAACAATGCATCCACCTTTCATAAATCCCTAAAAAATTCATAACTGGCTTACTTTCAAGATCTCTACTCAAACTAATTTATTTCTTTTTTATGGCCTTTGGTTAAGTGGGAGTTCGCTATATGAAACTTTCGATTTCTCATTTTTAGACTAGTTAGGCTTTTCTTATTTGACTAGACTTAATGATGTCTTGTTGAATGTGACTTAGAATCTCTCCTCTGCTCTCCATACCATCCTTTTCATTTTCAGACGAGATGAGGATTGAGAGTATTTGCTATAGAAATAGCATTATGTACAACCCCATTTGGAACTCTCTTGACACTTGCTATTGGATGGACAAAATCACCTTTTCCTATAAAATATTTTATTCTAACCTTCATGCATATTTGCTTGAAGTGAGTTTGAGAAGATATGTTGGTATAAAGGATGTACTATTAAATATTTCATGATAGCCTGAAAGATCCTAATAAGGGGATTGAAAATTAAAGATGCAATGTCTGATAGAGGCATTAATATTAATCAACTCTATGTTTTCTTTAACACAGAATGAAAGTCACTCTCATCTCTTCTTTGAATGCCCCCTCTCTCTTGCCATTCTTAAGAGATACATTCCTTAAGGAAGTTTTTTTTCCCTTCAAAAGGACTATAACTTCTCTCAAGTTTTAGTCCATGTGAAAAGCTTTTCCTATAAGATTACTAAGAAGTTCTTTCTATTTGTCACCCATATTACGGCTCATTATTGATGAATAAAAATGAATTTGAAAAATCTTTACTAACAATGAGATAATGCTAATCTTTTGATTACTAAGAACCTTTTTGCCATTCAACTAACGAACAGAGAAGTAAATTTCAACAGAGAGCTTCTAGATTGCATTTTAAAGTTATATTTCAATAGATGTACACCTTTTGTGCTCTCTCTTTGATATGATGATGCTATTTCTTTTTACCATCCTATTGCATATTTCACTTGCCGTAGCCCTTTATTTTGGAAAATATTGTCGTCTCTCTATTATATCAGTATGGTTGTGCTTACTAATCGCAGGTGATGAAAATTTTCATTTATTCCTTTATGGCAACATCTGCTATTATGTTTTGGGGGCTCTGTCGATGCCTACAATTCATCATTTAACATGCTTTGATGTTGGAATGTTTTGTTTATCCTCCAATGGTAGTTCCTATTGGGTTGTTCTCGGGCATTTGAGATACCTGCAAAATATTTGTTAAAAATTATGGTGGTTGTTATGCTCTTGCCATATCAGGCTTTTTTCTCTTCTTTTTCCTGATCTGCTATAGTTTTATTTTTTGGTGGGCAATCTTTTCAATTGCCATATAAGACTAAACTAAGTGCACCGCTTGTGCCTCAATTTTTAAACCATCCATGAATACATTAGATCTCCAAATTAGTATTTTGTGATTGAAATTAATAGGGTTGCCTTCAATGATTTGCTTTAATTTTGGTTATAGTCATCTATTTTGTTAACAACATTTAGCAGTTACCGCCATTTTGTGATTGAAATCAATATGGTTGCCTTCAATGATTTGCTTTAATTTTGGTTATAGTCATCTATTTTGTTAACAACATTTAACAGTTATCGCCATTTTGTACACTTATGAAAATTTCATATTTTATGCGACTTCTATATTCTTTCTTTGATTAATGAATGACACGACCCTCATTATTCTCAAAAAAATATAATAAGATATCTGATCAATCATATGAACTGCAAAAAAAGCCCAAATGAAGAGAGCATAAAAATGCCTCCAAAGCTAACTTTTAAAGCCAAAAATAACATCCAAATAGCCAAACAAACCAAAAGATAAATGAGAATGTGCTAACATAAGCAAGCAAGTTGAAATAACCACAAAATTCAAGAAAATAATGTTTCTTAGAAAGTCAAAATAGTTTTTTTTTATAGTTAGGTTAATTAAGACAAACTCACACACACATTACATACACAAGACTCGAACCCAAGATCTATTAGTTGGTAACCTAAGCTCCTAACCAACAGACCAAAATGAGCCGTGTAAAGTCAAAATAGTTACTATCCGCATAAATGATGGTATACAGTAGAAGGAATAAATCTATTCAAATGAAACCCACAATAGTAATACAATGTAGATGGTGAATATAAGAACTATCACCAAACCAAGAAGAAATGAAACGAAGTGTAAAAGTCATTTCAAATGATTTAGTAAAAAAATCAATAGCTTAAAATCAAGACAGTAACCATCATAAAAGCCATTTGAAGCTAAAGCACAAAAAAAAAAATCATAAAAGTAAATCAATAAAGCATTACTATCCTCCCTACGATGTTCATGTCTGAATCCCCTAAACTACCACCCAAAAAAGTAGAGTACTATCAATGATAGCTTGATGAAACAACCTACAAATGTAATTAACCATGATCTGTTGGTTGTGAGCTTTAGCTACCAACCAAGAGATCTTGAGTTTAAGTTTTGCATATGTGGTGTGTGTGTGAGTTTGACTTAATTGACCTACTTGATTGTACAACGATTTCAAAAAATGAAGACTCGGCGGGAGAAATTATAGATAACATAGAAGAAGAATATCAAGACTATGTTCTCAATTGTAAGTTTTTTGCTTTACTATATATTTTATGTTTTTATAATGAATCTAATGTTTTTAAAAAAAAAAATTTTAAAACCGCCAATGCTGGTCCCAAGCCCGGATGAAAAAGGTTGAGGGTTTTTTTTTTAACTTCAATATTTTGTGCCCCCACATGAACAAAATCCTGGCTCCGCCCCTGTATACCTAGTTTAGTTTTTAGAAAAATCTAGATCAAGAAACCCATATAGGAGAATTAAAAAAAAAAAAAAAGGAAAAACGGAAGTTTCTAGATTTAACACTGCCCTATATTTAACATAAGTTAGTAAAAGAAAAATAAATATAAATAAACAACAGTAAAGAACAGAAGAAAACCTGATAAACATAAATGTTCAATCCAAGCCGTCCATCAAGAGTCGACATCATCTTTCTCTTCATCGAACAGAAGCGGCTCGGCGAGGCCGACCGGTCGGCTCCGCAGCTTGATGCGGCGGAGCACGCCGTCTATGGCGAGATCAAAGGCATCCTTCCTGGCGCGGAGACCAGCCGAGCTTCCATGTCGGCGGTACATCACACCGGGCGCAAGCTCCAATACTCGCCGCCGCATTCGCCTTACTTTCTCATCGTTAATCGCCTCGAGGACGTCGGTGACGTGGACGCCGCCGTACACAACATCCTCCTTTGGAATAAACAACGAGAACGTCTCATACTTGTCCGGCGGGAGATGCCATCCGTACTGCCGCCTCGCCGAGAGCTCCTCGAAGAAGACCGGGATGCAGCCGGCAAGAATGGCGTCGAAGGTGGAGCGTCGAGCTGGCGTATCGCCGGGTGGCTGAAGGCAGAACCTCGAGCGGAGCATTGGCAACATGTAGCGAATCGGGTCGTGTGAGCAGGCGCCATCGGAGCAATCGACAACCTCACAGAGATCGGTGCGGTTCTCGCATTCGGCGCGGATGCTGCCGCGGATGTTGGGTCCCCCGCCGCCGCCGCCACCGGCGAAGAGCATGAGCTTGGGGCGACGGGAGCGGCGAGCGCGGTCAAGCCAGGATTCGAGTCGATCGAGACTGGCCGGATGAAAGGAGGTTGGATGGGGGATGGCGTGCTCCTGCCACGAGTCCGGGCGGGATTCAAATGTGAGGGCAGTGAGGTTGAGAAAGGCCGGGAGGTGGAGGATGGAGGTGCCCCAGGAAGGAGGGTAGATGTCTGGGTCCTGGGAGAAATCCCAGGCTGGGCGCGCCATCACAAGGAAATGGTCGTGGCCTGATCGGCGAGCCCAGATCTGGGGATTATTTTCATTAACAAGAAAGCGCTGCAGGTTCAGTCCGTGCTGGGCCGAATCGTTGTAGAAATCTGGGGAGTAAAGGTATGGAAGGGCGTCAAGGGATGCGTAATAAGGGAGGAAGACGGCATCTGCGCGGGCGGGGTTGGCGGTGAGACATGGGTATTCGAGAAGGCGGTGGTGGAAGAAGGGTTCCAGATAGTGGGAGTCGGTGCGGTACCAAGAAAGAGAACGGTTGTGGGTACGGGGGCCGAGACCGTGGTTAGCGAGGAAGGGGCAGAAGTCGTCAGTGAATATAGGAAATGAATTGCACCCTTGGAGGAGCTCAGTGTTGAACCGCGCCGGCAGTTCCCGGATGTGGATCCACCGTCCCTCACACTCCACAGCAGCCTTCTTCTCGTTTCCATTTCCCAACTCAGTATTTTTGGGAATGGATCGGGCAATCGCAGGCGACGCTAGCAAAATTGTAAGGAAAAACCAAGTAAGGAGAGTGAAGGCGGCGACGAAGGATGAAGAAGGCTGGTTTTCCATGACTGGAAGAGGAAGAGGAAGAGGCGAAGGAAAAACAAGGGTGGGCTCGTCGTTCTATAGCTCGCATATCTACAGTAGGGGATCCATTAAGGCCCCGTAGAGAGATGAAAATTTGCTCTTCATTATCGAGGGATTTGTTTCTAAAATTGTTCAGAAAAACATAGGATGATATCGAGGAAGAAATTTCCCAATTTTTGGATATTTTGGGGCCGGAGCTTGGCCTCGGCGAGAGGATCGTGCGACGTGCGTTTGATGCCGCTACTCGACTCGCGCACTGGTTCGTAACCGCGTTCCCTGCCGTAGAGATGGTTATTAATGGCGGATTTTGCCTCAGCAAACCACCTCATCATCAATATACACCGTTGCTCTCACTTGCGCTGCGGAAGTTTGCGGTTTTAACCAACAAGAGTAGAAGGATCGGGTAAGAATGCATCACTATTCATAGATATATTAAATAATTATTCAATAATATATTTGATATGTTAAAAAAAAATCATTCTGATCGTGAACGAATCTTGAGGCAAAATCAAATTGAAAACCGCCGAAATTTAAATTGGGATCATCCGAACTCCGATTTTAGCAAACTTATAGTCGAACTGATCATCTTAAAAATACAAATCCAATGACACCAAATTCGACTCAATCCAAGCTCAAGTGGGTCCAAATCAAAGACTAGAAGCGCTTTTGGAAGGTTGAAACTACAATTTGGATTACCAAACGGTTTACAAACGTGATATGCTTATAGTATAATCAAGCGACTCGACGAGATGAATCCAACGAGCCCAAGATCATCAAATTCTGATATCATTAAGACATTCAAATGTCCGATAAATGCCTTATGATCGGGGGAATCAATATGGGTCATCCGATGGAGCACTCCAAACCTACCCCAGATCTTATCTATATTTATGGGTTGTGCCACTCATGAAAATTTATAAATAAACCCTCACTCTCTATATGAGGATGACCTTTGATTAGAGATTGAAGAGAGCTCTGAAGTTTCAAGAGCTCAAGCACTACCGCCCGGCTACCGACCGTCGCTGGACTTAAGCCAAACCACATTGCTGCAGAACTATCACTTAGCCACCGGCCGCCGTCGGACTTCCACCAGGTCGTCGGCTGTCGTCGGACTTCAGCTCGACCATCGTTGGACCACTGCCTTGCCGCCTGAACTTACACCCGGCTGCCGATTGACTTCCATTCGACCGCCGACCGCCACCAGACTTCAGCCAGACCGTCATCGGACCACCACCCGGCCGCCGACCTCCGTCCGTTGCCGGACTTCCACCCGACCGCCTAACACCTCTAAAATTCAGCCCGACCTTCGTAGGATCACCGCCGACCGCCTCCGGACTTCCACCTAGCAGTCAAGCGTCGTCGGACTTCCGCCCGGCATTTGTCGGACTTACGCCTGACATTTGTCGGACCATTACCCGTCAGCTAAACTTTTGCACGGACGCCTGCGGACTTCTGCCATACCTTTGTCGGATCATTCCCCGTCAGCTGAACTTCTGCCCGGACGCCATCGGGCTTCCTCCTGAACGCTGTCGCCCTTAAACTTTCAAGTTATTTTATTAAAAAAAATTTTTGCTCAGTTAGTACGTACGAACCGTCTGTATGAACTGAAAAAAGTTTTGAAAATCTGTATGGTTAGTCTGTACGAACTACGAACTGAGTAAAGTGCAGGTTTGTTTGTACGAACCATAAGTTCGTCTGGGCGAACTGAACAAATTTTTTTGCCAGAGCCCATCATCCTGGGACGAAAATCAATTATCGTCTGCATGATCAGTATACAAAGGAGATCGTCCCGGGACGAACAAAAAACATCATCGGGATGATGGTAAATATATTTTTAAGCCCGATTTATTTCGTTTTGATGAGAGAGAAAGAGGAGAGAGAAAGAGGAGGAAAAAGGGAGAAAATTCGTGTTTTGGATGTCTTCGGTCGGTTTTCATCTGTCGCCGTAGTTGGGAAAGTTAATCGACTTAAGGTAAGACACATTATGCCTTTCTCAATTTTCAGAAATGTGATTTTTAACAAATATTTTGATTAAAATTTTGTTTCCGTTAGCGAAAAACGGGTATAATTTTGCACCGGTAAAACTTTTATCGCCTAACTTTTGGTATGTTGTAGAGATTATGATTTTGCACGTTTTGTGTATTTTCTGAAAATTTTGCACCGGGTATTTTGAAATCTGTGAGGTTTTATTGAATAGAAAATTATCTGGACATCGAAAAATATTGCTTCGGTACAATAAAAGATTTGAAATGTTATTTTATAAGATCTCTGGTAATTTGGTAATTTTTTGAAATTGTTCATTTTTTATTCATTCATTTTCTGTTGTTTGCACCTATACGAAAAGGTGAAATTTTAAGCTCAATTTTTTCGTATTTGTTATGATGTGATGATTTGATATTTGACTTGATTTGAATGATATCAGAAGGGAGTTATAAGGGACTAGAATCTTTCGAGATTCTGTCTGTGTCAGGGAAGGGAGGCATAAGGGGTCAGAATTCTTTTAGATTTTGTTTGTGTTCTGGAATATGAAAATGAACTCTGATCTGATAACTCTGTATATCTGATATATTCTGGTGCTGCAAGCACAAAGGGAGCCATAAGGGGCCAGAATTCTTTAAGATTATGTCTGTGTTAGGAAAGGGAGGCATAAGGCGCCAAAATCCTTTGAGATTCTATCTGGGTTAGGAAAATGTGAATTAAAATGTGATTTGAAATCTGATCTGAAATGTGATTTATACGATACGAATTTTATTCAGTTCTTCTATATATGTTATTTGATTTCCATCTGATTATTTGTTCTGTATGAATATCTGAAATCTATTTGATTTTTATTATGTACGAATATCTACATTCTGTCTGATTATATGATTTATGTACAATTATCTGAATTTTGTACGGTTGTTTGAATAAACTATTTTTTTAAAGCTTTTGTGATGTATTTTGAATGTAAGAATCTGAGAATTTAGATCGACTAGTGTGATCTTGCTGAGCTGTTAGCTCACTGTGGTTATCTTCATGATTTTCAGGATTTGAAAAAGGGAAGAAAGTTTTGGACTAGCCGTTCAGGATCTGATTTGAAGTTATAGGTATTTTGTACTTTTGATTTTTGCATAGTCATGATTATTTTTTCTGTTCTGTTATGTACTTTCTGTCACGTGGCCACTAATAGAGCAGCTAAAGAAAGATAGATTCTTATAGGGAGAGGTAGCCACAGCAACACTTGAGAGACTAAAGAAGGTTATGATTATTGTACTAGTCTTAGCTTTACCAGACTTCATCTAGGCCTTCATTGTGAAGACAGATGCTTCAGTATACGGACTGGGGGCAGTACTCATGCAGAATCATCGACCCATTGCCTAATTCGGCCAGGTGTTGACAGCCAGAGTTAGGCTGAAATAAATCTATGAGAGGGAGTTGATGGCCATCGTCTTAGCCATCTAGAAGTTGTGACCCTACATGTTAGGTAGGCATTTCATTGTTAGAATAGATTAGAGGAGCTTGAAGTACTTGTTGGAGCAACGGATAGTGACTGAAGAGCATGAAAGGTGGCTTCCCAAATTGTTGGGATATGATTTTGAAATACAGTACATGCTAAGAGGGGAGAACAAGGCAGCAGATGCCTTGTATAGATATATGGGGGAGCTATAGACAGTGGTAGTATCTGTTCCTTTGATGTTGGATTGGGAGGCCATTAGGGAGGAGAGCGCTAGGGATGAAGGATTGGGAAAGATTAGGACATATTTACTTACGGAAGGGGGTGGCCACCTAGGGTACTCATTGAAGGGGGATAGGCTGCGTATCAGGGGAGGTTCATGATGCTCCAGGCCTCAATCCACATTCCAAACTTACTTCAGGAGTTTTATGGAAGTTCTATTGGGGGTCATTTAGAGGTGCAGAAGACATAAATGAGGTTAGCTTCAGAGCTTTATTAGAAGGGGATACAGAGTTGTAGATAAGATGGTAGTAGCCAAGTGTGAGATTTGTTAGAGGAACAAATGCATGGCTATGTCGCCAGGAGGACTACTACAGCTATTGGTTTTACCGGGACAAGTATGGGAGGAGATATCCATGTACTTCATAGATGGGCTGCCCCGTTCAGAGGGTTTCACGATGATTCTAGTGGTGGATAGGTTAAGCAAGTATGCTCATTTCATTTCCCTCCGATATCCATACACCACGGTGACAATGGCTTCAGCTTTTATCAGAAAGGTTGTCAGATTGCATGAAGTGCTAATGGCGATAGTATCAGATAGAGATAAGGTGTTCCTCAACTATTTTTGGAGGGAGTTGTTCAAATTACAGGGGACAGTTTTGAAGAGTAGCATTGCCTACCACCCACAGACGGATGACCAAATGAAAGTGATCAACAGAAGCTTGGAGACCTACCTGAGATGCTTTGTGTAATATCAAAATCTGCTCCAGGATCGTCCAGGACGATCTGGGATTGTCCTGGGACGATCAGTTGAGAATTTGCTCCAGAATTTGCCTAGATTTGTTCCAGGTGTTTTTCTGTAGGCATCGTCCAGGCCGATCGAGGCATCGGCCAGGCCGATTGGCACTGTTCAAAATATCGGCCGGAAAATAGTTCTGGGAACCGTCCAGGACGATCAAAATTGGTCTGATCGTCCCGGGACGATCTGGCGATCGGCCGGGCCGATCTGAGTTTTTTAAAGCTGAAATCAGACATTTTGAAGAGAGAGAAAATTTTATAAAAATTAAAAATATCTTGAGGAGAGAGAAAGTCGAGAGAAATTTTGGAAAAGTGGATTTTTGGGTGACGCGGAGCTGTTTTCGTCCGACGAGACTGTTCAGGATATTGTTGTACGCAAGGTAAGGCACATTCTGCCTTTCTCAATTTTCAGAACCGTTGTGTTTGGCGGTATTTTCTGTCTGGATTTTTGTTTCCGTTAGTGATTTTCGTCCGTATCTTTCGATTGGTTCAGTTTTTACCGCGTAACTTTCTGTATGTTGTTAACGTGCCGAGTGTGCACATTTTGGTTATTTTTTGAAGATTTTTGTCCGGGTATTTTTGATTCGACGGTGTTTTTAGTCGACTGGATTTTTCTGTGAAATTGAAAATTGTCTGTGCAGTAGAATAAATGTTCTGAAATGTTGTTATCTATATTCTGTGCAAATTTGGTAAATTGTTATTTTCAGGAAAAAATTGTGTAAATTCCGTATACTGTCGTTGTGCTGCCCGATTTTTGTCTGATTTCTGATTTGTCCGGATTTCTTCTGAATTGATATGCTATCTGTATATGCTATAAAAATGGAGTTATAAGGGGCCTGGATCCTATGAGATTCAGTTAGTGTCTGGGAAATCTGAAATGAGCTCAATCTGAAATTCTGAAATCAGTTCTATTCCG